CAATAATTAGTTGCTTAATTATGGGAATTTTGGTCAATATTTTTTTTCAAATTTGTGCATTAGTAAACAGAATAGTTTTGAAGAAAGAATACTTTGTTTCTCTCAAAGCTCATGGAGGTCATTCCTTCACCTTGGGATGACACGTTTTTCTGGAGCACATAGGCAAGTCCAACTGTTGCTTCCTCTGTAGGAGGAGTCACTTAAATAGGCTGTACCTGGTCGGCCATGAGGTCAAATGAGCTGCTGCTCCTAAAACAAGAGCCAACCATCTGTAAATGAAGGTCTGTAGAAGCAGGTAAACTGTGTTCTGGTGAAGTTTGTCATTGCCGATCTTTTAATTGAGGAGTCCCAACTAGCTTCCAAGGAACCCCAGGGATCCAAAGAACATAGTTTGAAAAAGCCTAACTTAAGAGACCCATTTGTTTTTACGAAAACAAAAATAAACACCAAATGCGGATACTTAAAGAAAAAGAGCAGTATAGAGAACACATTTAGTTAGAAGTATCTTTATCTGGGCAGTTTCTGCCAAAAAGCACAGCTTTCCTCTTACCCATTATTTAGAAGTAATTGCTAGTAATTAGTTAACTTTTATGTATTATAAAATTATATTATAGCACACCAAGTGACGGCTGAAAGCTTTTGTTCATGCAATGCCTGTCATTATAATGTTCACATTAAAAAACAAAACATCTCAATGGAAATAATCATGGCTACCATGGACAAACCTTTCATTCTGCTTTTAAAGTGGTGACTGCCACACAATACATATCTGTTCATATTAGAGAGAGACATCTGAAAGGATTTTAGCTTCATTGTAATCCAGCAGTTAGAAGTCCTCTGCAGGCAGCTTCCAAAATAATCCTAAGGGCACTAGTTCTCTGAGGCTATATTGGCTTCTATGGTAGCATAATATGATGCTTTCTTAAGAATTGGTATTATTGTGTTTTCCTACTTATTTCATTTCTTAATGCATTTTATTCATTATTCTTCAGTCATATGTGTTATGTTATATACTGAATTTTCCTTGCAACTATTGCTGGAATGTGTGTGAATTATTTGTCCCAGTAAAGAAAATGAACTTTACGTCCTCATGGGGCTCTAGAGAAAGTATTTGATGCATATGTGAGGACTGGAGAGATCATCATCCATTATGTCATTAAAAAAATCAAAAGATAGCAATAAATTCAAAAGTAAATTCAAAATTGTATCTCCCTGCACTTCCCTCAAAATTCAGCAACAGGTTTCACAAACAAGGTTTTCCCACAAACAAATCTTATTAGCACAATATCTAGTGCTACAAATGAGATATTTCCATCTGCTCAATCACTTTTACATCTCACTACCAAGTTTCTCACTTCATTATTGCATGATATACCTGGCACTAACACCTCTTTGTTCCCAACCCTCTTTCCTTTGCTACTGCTTGTACTTTCAGACCTAATCTTTCAGTGTGCTACAGAAGATAGAGTATAGACTGGGAAGAAGAAGATCTGGATTCTAGTCCCCATTCAGCCATGAAGCTCCCTGGAAGACTTCAGGTCAGACACTGGATTTCAACCTAAACTACCTCTCAAGCTTGTTATAAGGATAAAGTGTAGAAAAGGAATACTGTGTAAGTCTCCATGGATTCCTTGCCAAAACAGGTAGGCTATAAGTATAACAAATAAAATCTGGTTCAAGAGCAACAGACATCTGAAGGTGGTTTTCATCCTTCTCAGTGTCTATGTCACCAATAAATCCCACTTAATTAAATTAAGAAACGCTAAACATTTTATTGTAAGCCATCCAGAGATGAAAGTGATGGACAGCCTAGAAATATCCTAAATAAATGATGAATGTGGTATGAGCCAGTATGGTGTGGTGGTTAAGAGTACAGACCTGGTAATCAAGAGATTCAGGTTCTAGTTTCCACTCAGTCATAGAGCTCACTGGGTGACTTTGATCCAGTCACAAACTCTCAGCCCAACCTACCTCACAGGTTATTGTGGAATAAGATTGAGAGGAGGAGGAGGAGTTGTTTATCAAAAAGAAAAATGTGAGATAGAGATTAAATAAATAAATAAGAATAGTGTATTAATGACAAACCTCCCCCTTAGAGTTTAATTTTTTTGGAGCAGAACTATAACAAGAGACTCTGGCTTTAACAACAGGGAGTGAACCTTTCCTGCTAAAAGGCCAGTGATAGATGTCCTTTAACCACTATGAATTTTCCAGTCTGTCCAAGTAATTCCCTTCTGCCCCAGATTCAACTAAAGATCTTCTGCCCCAGCACTTCAGACCCTCTGGTTAACATCTTCCTTCCCTATTAATGCTAGAAATGAAATATGAATTGTTCCCACTAACAAAAGCTCTAACAACACTCTAACAAATGCTTCTGTGGTATTTGCCATAAAATGGCTAGAGCCACACAAAACAACAAACAGAACTATTAGGCTACAAAAAAGAAATAAAGGTATTTCTCTCCACTGAGAGCTCTCTATTGTCCCAGCATTAAGGATCAACACTGAAGCTAGCTTTGGATCAGATTTCAAAAGTTCAGGCAAAAATGGGACCCAACATTATTTTTTTTTAATAAATGTGGGCAGCCACTTACCTCCAATGTTGTCATAACTTTGCTGACTTCTGCAATTTGTTTAGAAAAATCTCCATCTATGATAAAGCATATTATAGCTTTATACTCCTGGAAATATTTCCTTAGAGAGGAGACAGAATTCCGTAATTGGAATATAGATAGTATTTGGAAACCCAGCAGTCTAATAATATCTATTAGGGTGGAAAGGTGAAAAATATTTGACAAATATTTCCTCTGCTTTATCAGATAAACAAGTATTTGTCCACAAACCTATGCCTATGGACAGCAAGTGCCTTAAATCAGCCTTGGACAGCCATTGCCCTTACCCACAATAGTCTATTTGAGGAAAAGCACACAAAAGGCACATTATTTTCTCTCACTGGCTATCTCAGTACCTAATTTGCCCAACTGCATAAAAAGATGAGAAGAAAGCCTCATTAGGCCAGCCTGGCTGTTCTCCTAGCAAAGGATCCCAGAAGGTACAAGTCCACAATATATATCTCCACCTACATTAAATGTACGTTGGCATACAGTTAAATTTGGCATATGTTTCTAGAAAAACTACTACAATTTTAAAAATGATGCTGTTTATTGCAAACATTCCAATAATCCATTAACTAAGTGCTTCCAATTTCTTATTGCCAATTCCTTTCAAGCAAATAAACTGCAGACTGAACTGAGTTTTCCCCCAGCCAGTTCATCACTGGCTTCAAACTTAGCACAGGAAATTATAGGTATCGTCTAAATTATTTTGAATGTCAATGTTATTTGCTCGCAACTAACACGATATGGTGATGAAATGGTGACTTAACATCCAGGTATTTAATATGGAACTTTGCATATATCTGGACTGCCAGATCAAGTTTCCATCATCAGATGAGGGAACTTAAATGACAGTATGGACTCTCAATTAGACTCTTCATTGCCTACTTTTTTTTGTAACATCTTGTCTTAATAAAGGAGCTAGAAATCTAGAAAACTTGGATTTTTCTGTGGCTCCTGTGTTGGCCTACACAGTGGCCCGGTCTGGATCAATCCTTCCCGTCATGGTTAACAAACTAGGGGTACACAAGTGAGTGTGTTGGTTCCTATGTCATTCTGCTCTCATGGTGTGTTAACTATGTGTTATTTAACAGTGAATCAACTCAGAATGCATGGATTTCCACTTCATCCCAACAAACAAAAGCAGTTTTCAGAAGCAGAAATGGCAAGAAGTGCATGTGTACTTACTTGCCAATCCTTGAGTAAAGCTGCTCAGGAATTGCTCATGACATCCAAGTCAAGTCATTTATATAAATGACCATTAGGTGGCTTTTAACATACCATCAAGATATTTCAGGGATAAAGAGTCTAATAAATTTAAATCTAAATTTAGTTTAATAGTTCCTAATGGAAGGTGCCATATAGACCTAGATGTGCATTTGCCTTGCCCCCTGACAGAAGGAAACATGTATTATTGCCACTGTTCACTAATCTCTTTCCCAGAGTGACTATATTTCTCAGAGGAGAAAGTCATTCAAGACATATCTGTGTAAACCATTGCAAGTTTTTGTGGTATAGAGGGAAAGTGGTGGGTCCTAAGGACTTACACGCTACTTACTAGTACATTCTAGTAAATTCTTTCAAGTAAATCCTGGCTAAATGGTCTAAACAGACAAAGGGAAACAGATCAGGTTTTAAAAGAATGTATATTTTTAAAGTACCATGCCAGTGAATGAAAAAACTCATGATTTCTGTATTCACCAGTTAGAAAGGAACATATACATCTTTCATATGTATTAATTATACCAGGAAACATAAAAAAATAGTTGGTTTCATTCCCAGGGGATTTTAATAAACATGACAAAAGTAAGATCTAGAAATTTTATTTATTTTTCGATTTATATCCTGCCTTTTCCTACAAAAGGCTCAAGACAGCTTACATCTCCTCCTCCATCTTATCCCCACAACAACAACCCTGTGAGGTAGGTTGGGCTGAGAGTCTGTGACTGGCTCAAACTCACCCAGCTGGCTCCATGGCTGAGCAGGGACTAGAACCCAGATCGTCTGAGTCCCAGTCCCATGCTCTTAACCACTACACCATTAGATGGTATAGGTAGGATCTGCAACAGCATATAAGCTGCACTCAACAGAGTTCTTACTCCAATTTATAGCCACCCAACTGTCCCTTTCCCCAGCTTTTTCTGTCTTCTTCCCCCCACACCCCTATGCCAAGAATGAGTCAGCTTTCCTGGCCTACTCAAGCATCACTGGGCTGTTTTCCAGGACACCTGCAATGTTAGAATTTTTTAAATGATCATATATCTGCAAAGCATAGGGCTACCCAGATCTGCCAGTATCTCCCCTCTTATGCAAGGTTAGTGCTGTTTTGGCTACACAAGGCATAGCATTCAGATATCTGGATTTGCTATTATTATATATGTGCTATTTGAATGGTTATAAATACTTTTGAGACACCTCAATGGTTCTTCAGGGTCATCGGGCAAAAGCCTTCTATACTTGTAATTACATAGGTAAAATGTCTGCTTCTTAAGCACTTTAATTTAAAACTTAAGAGCACAGCCCCTCTCTTAAGCCTACTAATCACTTTTCTAAGTGTTGCATTGAGCAAAACAAGAACATGGACAAATTTGCTTAGTAGCTACCTACATTTAAATATTACAATCCCATTATTTATTTGATAGGTCACTTCACAACTGAAAACATTTAGATTTATAAAGGACAACTTAAACTGTGTTAACTTTCTTGTGCACAATGCTCCCAACATCTGTCCTATCCCATCATTAAACTAATGTGAATTGAAAAACTTGGTCAGAAGTCACATCTAGCCTGAAAACAGAAAGCTGGATGAGTACCAGTATAACTAATTCTAATGGCTAGTTAATAGTCCCCCTACTCTTCAGATGAATGAAAGAACCAGAAGTAGCAGCAGCTACTGGTTTAAGTATATGTTTTGGTATATTTACTAGTAGTGCTAAAGATAGGTGTAACTAAAACCCATTCTAATGTGATTTTTCAGCCTCATTCCTTGGGTTGATGAGAGAATTAAGAACAACCCTATGCATCTGTTCAGTAAGAGACCCAAGAAATCTTGAGTGATATTTGCCAGCTGAGTCAGAAAGGACCATGATTAATGTCCAAAGAAGGGGTAGAAAAATGGAATCAAGTCAGGAGCTCTGTTTGAGGCTTTAGAATTGGTCAAAATGCATAACATGCTAGTGTACTGTATGCTACCCTGTAGCTGAAACCAATGATGGCAAATGGCCACTTGGTCTGCTACCAGTGCAGAGTCTAGGTCTCCGGTATTACCATGAAAGTATTCTTTACCCTTTTTAAAATATCAGCAGGTATGCCTATATAGAGTAATGGAAGGGATGATGAATCAGCCTACAAAGTGTAAAGCTCTTGGTTTCACTGATTTGCACAATATTTTATTACATAGAGAGCGGAAAACTGGTAATGCAACAAATGCACTTGGACATTCATTGCTTTCTGTATTAAGAAAGACACAGATTATGGCTGTGTGTATCAGATATTAGGCTTACTTTGTCTTAGTGACTTTTCTATGGCAATATCATGTGCATGTTTTTATTATTATTTCTTGTATTAAGCCCCCATTCATGCAAGTGTTTTAATAAAATAAAAGTCCTGTCATACAATACAAAATTACTCCTCCCTGTCCAATTCACAGAGACTGCTTTTGGTCTATTTCATGTGATATGAAGCCAAATTGTCCTTGGTTTGAGGCAACAATCACAACCACAGCTTACCAGTTAGATCTCCATTTTGTTACTCCTGAAAGTTAAGGAAACAGTTAAATGAGACATTGCAAAGAAAACGACTAAGCAGAAACCATTGTATTTTCAGCATGTGCCCATGGAGAAGAACAAAGCAAGCTATTGAATTTACATCGTCTTTCCATAATCATTGCCTCTTTTTGGTTGCACTTTACTCATCCTAGCTACAGCAGCTGCAACTGTAATTTCTTCTGGACCTCTAATTTCAAACAACAGTTTATGGAAAGAATAATTGTGAAGAATTATTTACAGAGCCTCCAAAATATCCATTTGCCTGATCTGGATTGTCTCTTTCATGAATAATCCACCTTTAATATTGTGCAGAGTTGTATCATAGGTTAATATAGCATGAAGATGCCTTTAGAGGATGGCAGAAACAAAAAAGCACAAGTGAGAATGAATTAAGAATTAAGTCCCCAACTGTCACAAGTGCATTCTGTCCATATTTCAATGATAAAATGCTCCCCAGAATTCAAGGTTTGGCTTCAGCAGCCAACATACTTGGCTAAATGGCAAGACCCATAGGGCAGGACATATCAGGGCTAACACTGGCATACTGTTTAAGACTTTTTTAAAATGCTGTAGGGCACAGTCCTATACATGTTTAGACAGAGATAAGTACTATAAATCCCAGAAATCTCCAGGCTTCCATGCATAAGATTGTGTCCTTAATTGCTTTATGTTGCTTATATGCCAGCCACATATAGGGCAAGCACTGAACTATGTGATTGCAGCCACTGCAATATTTATTTTCCCCAGTGCAATTCAGTAGTTCTCCTACTAGTGCTAGACTATTTAAAACATTATTATATTAATTTGTTAAGATTCTTGCCTGGGTGAGTTTGCAGCTACTAGAATGGCGAAGGCAATGCTGGGGAACACTGACCCAGACACTTTGCCCTGGGTTTTTCCAAACTAGGTTTTGCCATCTTGCTATGCCTGGTTTGCTTTCAGCAAATGATTTATTAAGCCTTTGATTTCTTAGTTTTACTGATAACATTTATTCTTAATATAGACATAACACACAGCATTAAACCTCATACTATCCTACAATATACATTACGCACACATACACACACACTAGCAAAAGCTATGTAAGCACTGAGAAAAAATGAGCACTGTATATCTAGCCCAAATGCAATGTCCAAATGTACAGATTTGCAGAAAAGTCACAAACTATTGAAATCACCACAGCTTCTTTCCTCTGGTAATTTTATATTCTTGAATAAAGTATTGTATTACTTAGATTCAAAGACTATCACTACACAACACACAGGAAACAAAATAATCTGTTTAAAATGCACATTAGTGTATGATTATGAAATAATGAGTTTTAATTGCATTAAATTCATATGCTCAGATCTAGAGTACAATTCCGAATGCTAAATTTCACCATGCTCAATTTTGCCAGAATAAATTTATTTTCAACAAGCAAAAAGTTAATTTGGAAAGAAAAAAAATGTAACATTCCACTTTCATTGCCAAAAGCATCATATTCAGAAAGGTACATTAGGAAAACAGTCCTACAGCCCCTGGATGAATGGAAGCAGGAGTCTGAAAATGAACCACACCACATCATCACCAAAAGCCAGGAAGAACCACATCAACTGCCTCTTCACGTTGGAAAACTGACTTTGGGAAGTGAGGAAAGGGTTCCACAATGCAATCTGAGCCTCTTGCAGCCTTCTTCGCTCCCCCTCTGAAGTGCCCTTAGTAAAAGTCTGAAAAGGCCATTTGGCAAAAAAATAAAAATAAAAATCAATGACTGGAGTGAAGAAAGAGAAACATCACCTCCACTACCTTGATGGCTTCAACCCATCAGGGAACAGGAATCTCAGAAGACTCTGAGTTCAAAGACTTCAAGCAGTAAGATCACAGTCCACAGGATTATGCCCTAAAGGGAGGTGCTTATAAATGGAATCTTTTAAGAATAAAATTACATTTTAGGACAGACTGTCTGCAAGCCAGTGTGGGGCAGTGGTTACAAGTTCAGATTAGGACTGGGAAGCTCCTATGACTGGGTGACCCTGAGCCAGTCACTGCCTTTCTATTTAGTGTATGTATGTATGTCTAATGTATGAAAGACTTGCGTATTTCAGTCTAATGTATGTCTAAGGGCAAGATAAAATGTTGGGAGAGGGAGTGATCATGTGTGCAACCATAAGCTACTTGGATGAAGGATGTAAACATAATATATGAACAAATTAATACTTGTGTGTACCAGATCTAGGAAATTACCCAGAGATTAGTAATTAGTAATGCTCCATGCCTGATCATCTTGGAGGAATTGTATGAATTTTCCAAAACTCAAAAGAAGTAATTCTAGCCCATGTCAAAAATTATAAAACAATGCCAGTTCAACAATCAGCATCATACACACATTGGTCACAGGTGGGCAATAAAGTCCTGGATTAATAAGTCTAGATGTGTATATGTGTTCTGTACCATAAAGGGAAGAGCGACGCAGCAGGAAATGGCTGGATAGGAGTTCATGGCACTCATGCAGACCCTGCCTTATTAAAGCAGGATTTATGATTTAGCACGACATTCAATCTGCATCATTAACCTGTACTGCTGACTTGTTAAGGGGTTACAACTGCACAGATACAATGGACACAATGAATCAACTGACTTCTCTCAAAAATAGAAAGCTATCAATATGCACGGTGATCTACAGTACAACAAAACCTAAAAAAGTAAGGTCCCTGCCATTATGGTTTTACACTCTAAAATTGGGTAGCAGACTGCAAAGGGTTCTATTTATTCATTTTTATTTATATACTGCTCCAAATCTAAGCAAATTCAAGAACAGCGGGGAATAAAAGGCATAAAACACCATTTTAATGATTTAATAACAAAACAATATTTTAGAAACCATGGTAGGTCAACTAAAGAAAGTTTGTTGACATAAGGATGCCTTCAAGAGGTTCTGAAAGCAACTTAATAGTGATGGTTGGCTGACCTCCATTGGCAGAAAATCCTACAGAGAGAAGGCCTCCACACTACAGACTGCATTCTCAGTGGGCTCAAACTGGCCATAGGTCCATGAGGAACTACCAAGAGAACGTCCTCTGATGACCTCAGTGACTGGGCAAGTTGAAAGTGTTCTCTCATGTGACCTGGTTCCGGCTTGTTTAGGGCTTTATGTACTAATTGCAAATTCTTAAAACTGGACTGGAAGGGAACAGACAGCTGTTACAGTTCCATCCGCAAAGGAGCTGCTTGTGAAAAGAGGCAGCTCCTGACAACAGCTGGACTGCTGCATTCTGCACTAGCTCCAGCTTAAAGGCAGCCCCACATGAAATGGACTGTAGAACTTGCATAGCTTCACCTGATTCAGACGATACACAGCTCTATCTCTTTGTGACATACTGATGACATTTGTTTCCAGATCTCCTAATGACCACTCCCAGCAGATCTTGAATTGCTTTGGGGACAAGATGGTAGTTGCAGAACCCTGCAGTTCAATTGTCAATTGGCTAACAAGTAATTATTCTCTGAAATCAACTCTGCAGGTACGACCAAAACTACTATAACACATAGCCTCCAGCGCCCAGCCCACAGAGTCAATCCAGGAGAATACCATGGTCAGTGGTATTAAAAGGTAATTAAGAAATAAAGATAGAACTGTCTCTGTTCCAATACAGATTTATCCATCTGATTTTGAATCAAAATTGGCTCAATTTATTAACCAGTTTGAAACCTAGGCTAAAACAGGTCTAAATAATCAGTATCTTCCAAAACTATCTACAGTTGCTTCACCATGCTCCTCACAGTTATCTGTGAAAGGGATATTTGCAACTGATCCATAATTGTCAAATACCATCAGGTTCAAAATGAGTTTCTTTAGGAGTGCAAAATTGCATCTTTAAGGATGGCAAGAACCACCCTTCACACAAAGATGAATTTACCATTCCCTGGAGCCACTCGGTCATAACCACTTAGCTAGCTTTTATTAGCCAGGAGATGCATGGTTAGGTACTTGCACAATGCAAGTACCTTATCCACATCATGAAGCTGCAGCAACTGAAACTGATCCCACAAAGCCAGGCAAATAATGGTGTTAGACTACTCCTCTCACAGCTCAGAGCACAGACCAAATCAAGGGAATACTGCACTTCATGTACTGAGTCAATGACAAACTGAGACAGCACCATGGTTGTCTTGTCCAGAGAGAGCCTCAGCATGGAACCACCGTCCTGAGCAATTCACACAGCACAATTGAGACTGCCTCTGTCAGTTTGGTCAGGTAGGCTGCAAGATGGCCTTCCTAAGCTACCTTTATGACCCAAATGATGGAAAGGAGAGGAAAATTTCCTGTTACGAACATCAATTTATGGCAATCTAGAACATAAATCTACAATACTAATGTTATTTTAGTCATGCTGTCATTTTTCCTGGTTGCTTACTGGATTTCTGAGCCATTCTGTCAGACTCACAAAGGGTGGAAATGCACAGATTCCAGTTACACAATATAAAATTAATAAATATAGGGCAAACCCTGTTGAAAAGAATCAACCCATGTTCAGTGATTAGTAGAAAAAATAGCATAATAGTGAAATAAATGGTGAAATATCCCAATAGAGGGATCCAAACAGCAGATGTCCCCAAAAGGTCAGTGTTTTCAACATGTTCATGAATGATCTAGCATTAGTAGTGAGAAGTTAAGTGGCCATGCTTATTTGTAACATATAATTTAAGGTAGATAAAACTGAAAGAGAGCAGGAATATATCTAGGAATATCTGGGAATTATTCCATGAAGCCAAATGGTAGGCAATTGAGGTCAGATAAAAGAAAGTTCTTCTTCCTACAGCTCACAGTTAAACTTGTGGAATTTTCTACCAGAGGATACCATGATGGCAATCATTTGGAAGACTTTAGAAGAAGCCTGAACAAATTCATGAAAGAGAAGGCTATCATAGGCTACTGTGCTCCAAGTATCAGAGACAATAGGTCTATGTATCATAGATGCTGGGGAAAATGAGTGTATTTATGTCCTACTTGTGCATTTCTACAAGCAACTGTTTTGCCACTACGTGAACAGTATAGTGGACTAGATGATCCAGATGATCCAGCAAGACTCTTATTTTATTTTTATGATGCTAGATAATTATGACAACAAGATCTGCAAAAGAAATAATCTATGTTGTATGGAAGTGTACATTCTTAAACTTCCAAAAGCAGCTGGATGCTACAATGCCATTCCACTGTAAAATTCCACATTTTCTTAACAGTAGTGTTTTGTCAGGAAATCTGCAGTAGTGTCTTGTCAGGAAATTCTCAAATTCTCAAATTCTTTTGATATACTGAATCTATGTTATGCTTTTCTGAAATGAAAATAAAAGTTGGTTTGCCTTTGAGTAAGCCCTAAAATACATTCAATGTATCACAGAGGAGAAACTATGGAAAGCCAGCTGAACAGTGGAAATGTTCATGTTCCTGAATTACTGTTTGTGCATTCCTAAGCAGGTAGAACATAATTAAGAGCCAGACTGGTACCTACTACTAGAAATATCTAATAGTCAACACAGAATATATCTCAGATATATAAAGCTATAGGGTCACTTGGACTATGGGTTGTGGTGCTGATATGCTGAAAGATCACATAGCAGAAAAAATGGATATGTTGCAATTCCAATGCCTAGGACAGCAGTGTGTTCTACTGGAAAAAAATATCCCAAGTAGTTTGGAAGAAGTGATGGTATATACTGATGGGGGTTTATTGAAATTCAGGATACTAGTAAAGCTAAAATGACAACCCAATTTTATGACAAAACAGCAATGTTAATAGTCTCTAATCTGTTTGTTTACTTCTTTTCTCAGTAAAAACAGACATGGTGAAAACATGTGATGTAGCTGAAAGAATATGACCATTTTTCTTTCTAGAGAGGGTATTAAGGAAAAATGAAAGCGGGAAGAAAGAACACAAATCTTCAAGTGCTCACATCAATAACTGATAGGAACACATTATTTACCATGTAAGCTATAAAGAAGGAACAAATGCAATTGTGACAGCAATTACAATAATTTCTGCATATATGAATTGCAAGAACTGCAAGCAAAATCTCTCTGCATTTGTCATAATTTCTATTCAAGGAAAATGGGTAGTGTGGCACCCACATAAATGGACTCTACTGCAACTGAAGCTGCTATTTAAAAATAAAATCCAAGAAAACTGAGCTTTTATATTGTTATATGTATTTATATATTATTTCACAATATCACTGTGCAACCCAGTTTATGCGCTTTCTTCCCTTTAACTCACAACTTTGCGATAAAACAAAGATTACATTATCATGCTTATTTAGCTGCTGTTTTCCTAAGGTAAAGTTGAAGGGTAAAAAACATATTTTATTTTAAAAGCAAAAGCACAATGCCTTCTGAATGACAAAGTAATGTGTAATATTTAGGTTTCTGCAGCTTAGATTTTTTAATATAATAAAATATACACAGAGGTTTGAGAAGGAATATTTCACCACCCACTATGCATGTCAGAGGACAAAAACCTTCCTAGGTTGAAGGCCTATCAACATTTGCAAGCAAATGTCATGGAAACCAAAGCTCTCTCCATGGTAACATCATCCCTGGAACAGTATCTAGCCACAACAACATTGAACAAACTGTGACCTTGTCTTTGAGTATAATACTGGTTTTTCTTCTACAAATTACTCAGTATTTAACATACCTGACCATAGTAAATATTTAATCAATTAATAATGC